ACGACGGCGATGAGTAAACTTACCGCCGCAGCGTCTGCTCTGGCCATATACGCCAGCTGCCGACGTCTGCCTCTCCCCCGCATCCCTGCTGATTGAGGCACTACCTGCTGGCTGGGCACGGAATCCTGAGAACGAGAGGGCCGCGTACAGGAGGCACGGCACGGCCAGCGACTGAGTCGGCGGCCACGAGCTGGCCATCTGGCGGGCCTGTTCCCTCCGTAGCCGTTCGCACCGTCCTCGCCACAATTTGATATATAATTGATGACACAATATACAGTGTCATACATAGAGCACATAAAATACATTAGGGACCAGATCCTTGATAGAAGTCTGAACATGAGGGCAAGTCGAAAAAAGTGGCGAGAGCGGAATAGAACAACATGGCAAGTGTCAAGATAGCCAATGCGATACCTGCTGCATTCTGATCAGGAACTACAGTTCATAGACATAATGCGTCAAACATACCAAACTGTAGGGAAATATCAGGTAGTCCGCTTCGCGCGCAGAGTCCGTGATCAGGCAGAGGTAGAAGAGTAACCAGTCGTAAATGTGGCACAAGTAGGCGGCCGACGTACTATTTCACCAAACTTCGTAGGTATTGTTATAGAACAGTCCGAGTCGCCGTCTGTGTGATCGCCGGGCTCGATCGAGAGTTCGATGAGAACGTCCCCGAGGTGAACTTCAGGGCAAGATCGCGGAATTTGGCATTAAAATCGATGTTCTCGCGGTCAATGAGCTCCAGCCTACGTAGGTGCGTGTTAATAATGCGTTACAAGACAATCTAAGATGGATGCATACGTACACAGGCATCAGTGCTGGGTATTTATTCGTTAGCGATGCCAGTGAACGAGCCTGCGTCGATCATGACGAGCGATGTCTCGGGCGTATACCTCGACGGCAGAGGCAGAATACTCTGAAAGGTTGTCAGTAGCGAGCCGGTACGATTTCGAGGGATGGGTATAGGAAACTGGCATAGGCGCAAGTGGAGGCCAACCTGATGGTGTAAGTATGGGTGCGAGACAGCAGCGGGACAGCGCGTAGCAAAAAGGAAGGGGATGGATGGAAAGGAGGCGGCGCGACGTGTTCCTTGCACCGAAGAGAGATCAGGATGGCGATGGTGAAGGATAAGTCGCGTCTTCCGGGACTAAGATCTGGAAATCGGCGTGGCGGTGCACGCGTGCGAAACGGCCATTTCACCCGCCCTCCAACTGTACGGTGGGCCGCGAGAGCAGCCGACGTGAGAGAAGGACGGGGCAAGGGGAAACAAGAGTATCACAATGCTAATGAGGCCGTCTCGAGTGAGCGGCGGATATATATGAGCAAGACCGAGTCTGAAGGGCGGCACAGGCCCGCGGAAGTAGTAAGTGACGAGTCATACGACAAGCCAGCACAGACTAGAGCTGGACTAGAGAGGGACCTCAGCTGTGGAAGGAAAGAAGAGCATGTGGTTCGGGATGTAAGGCACAGGCCGCATTCTAGAACGTAAGTAGTAGCGAGGGTGGGCGGGTCAAAAGCTGTCTGGTGCCGCGCTGGGACCTGTCGCGACGAAATCACTTGTCGATGAGCGTGTCGGGTCATGCGTGCTTCTGGTGCGCCTTGACGCGAGCTCTCACTTGAACCATTATGACGGTGAAGGGCGTAACACGTGTACTGCAGTCGACTCATCAGTACACGCGACTTGATTACCCTCTCCCGTCATGGCTTGTGGCTGTCGCACGCTGCTACGCACGGCACTGCACGCTCACAGAGAGTTGGTCCAAAGGTTGCTTGTGATGCGCGGGTGATCGCGAGGTGCACGGGAAGCGAGAGCAATTCTCGCCGCTGGCAAGCATCCGTGATCGTGTACGCGGCCCGCCAGTCTGACTTTTGCGGCCGCGATAGACGAGAGCTGCCCTTCCGAGGCTCGGAGCGGTACCCCGAAGCCTGTAGCCTAACAACACTTGATGCGAGAGGATTTCTTCAACTGTCCAAGAGGCGGATGCAGTGCGTCTCGCGTCCACCGGGCCGCCCAGCGCAACGAGAAGCCGAAAGCATCTACTTGCGCTTTCGCCTGTAGCGTTTGATGTCTGGGACGCTACTGATCCAATTGCGATTGGCACATCTAGCCTGTCGTGTAAGTATCTTCATCCTCATCTAGGTATCTTATAGTATGAGCGAAGGGACAAGATAAAGCAGAGGCAAGTTGAACAGGTTGTGTCGCGTCAAGTTAGTAACGGAACTGAAGACAGCGATAACAACTTCTGGAATTCCTCCTGGACGTCGTCTTCCTGCGAACGCGCATCGACGAGCTGAAACACTACGCACATGGACTTATGTCCTGCTCTCCAGTCACTGTCAAGAAGATGAGTCACTCGAAAAGATATGATGGATACGAGTGCAGGTTCACCTGATTTGACAACGTCTCCCACAGAAGATTGGCCTTTTGCAGGCAGAGCACTGTCCACGGCCTGCCACAGATGGCAGAGAGCGCTGACAAGCAAAGCAGAAATCACGCCCTCCTGGCCATATCCGAGCGGCGGGACGTAGAGCTTTCAGCTGTGCGGGGGAGAGGGACTTCACAGACGCGGGTGAGACACGCCCCTTGCTGATCATGCGTGCAAGATAGTCTTGCTGCGTCCGTATCCCTTGTCTAGGGCTCGACATCAGCTCAGCTACTGCCAATACGGCGGAGGGAGATATCCCCAACGAGACGCCGTTGTTCATGTCGAGGGCCTCATACAACAGAAAGAGGTACTTTTCCGAATACCGGCGTCGAATGTCCCTGAAGAAGACTACCGGCGGCTGACCACTCATTCTGGGCCAGAATCAGCTCATTGTGCGAGTGACACATGATTGGAATACCGTTGATGAGCCCAGATGTCGTACAGGACGCGGAGGGCAAACTTCAAGGCCCAGACTCCGCCTTCCTGGAGAAAGGTGTCGGCTCGTGCAACCTGCCCTACTACATGGTCCATCGGCTCCAGATAGGCCACCAGGTCTTTCGAACTATCGATATCCCGCAACAGCCTCCCGCAAATTGCGACGTTGTTCACTTTTCGGCCCAAGTACATGTGGAATAGTGTCGTCATGATAGGAAGGTAGAAAGGCCGATGCTGGCTCAGTCGGTAAGTACAGGATGGCACTGGATATCATGCACCCGCATTTGACTCACCTCGCGATGCTTCTGCACGAGCTCTGCGATTACCCAGAGGGAATGGTCCAACTGAAGATGCAAAATGGCTCTTGGCGGATACTGGACCTGGGTGAGCGCGAGATTAACTGTGCGCGACAACTTCGCTGCACGCAGAATCCGAAGAAGTTGTGCATGATTGCTGCCAGTTTCGCGCTCAATGCCTCGCAAGACCGCTTTCGTGGCGGGCAGGAAGGGATGATATGACGGGTCCATGATGGTGCTGGTTAAGCTGAATACATGGCTGACATGTGCATAAAGCTATGTGCGTGGGTATTAGTGATTGATGTGTGACCCCCAATTTTCTGCGTCTAGTGCAGGCGAGGCTTTCACTGCCTCGTGAAGATGTGTATAGGTACTATGACCAGCCATCATGACGTAGCGAGCACAGCAGTACAAGTTTACAAACGTCTCAGGAACAATACTAGTCACAGGACAGACTGCCGTATCATAAGTACCGCTATGACAATGTAGTACTCTAAGGCGCGCGTGTGCATAATCGAAGTGTCAAGTTGGGAGAGCTGCAATGCGATGAACACCGCCCTAGTCAGCGCTTCATCTTGGGAATGTTATGATCATGTAACCTACGAAAGCCAACCACAGCTAGATTCCGGAACTCGTCAAGTCGTGGATGAAATACCCTCACCCGGATATGCGCGGCGACGACAGTCTTCGGGCCGACGGGAAGTATGAGGTCGGTCAAAAGAACGGGCGCCCATATGGGGAGCCGCTCACTGGACAACGTCAAAAGTTTCACGACGTCTCCAGACTTGACCCCAACTTTATCCCATTCATGGCTGAAAGGCGCCAAACTGAACGAAGCGCCTTTCGCCACTGGTGAGGGAAACCGTAGGAGCAGTGGAGGTTTGCGGTCCTAAATGCACGAGCGGTGAGCGACACCATCACTTACTGGCGGCAGTGAGTACGCACTTCTATGAAGAACCAGAGGCTAAGCATCTCAGGTTCTATGATCTCGATGCTTGGGCTTCGCGAGCGGGTATTCAGACGTCCAACGTCAACGGTTTCGGCGTGAAGATGTCCAGCCGCTCGGGAAGAGCTGGGTATTGCTTGCAGAAGTGTCCTAGACGTCCCCGAACTGCCGAAGCCGCGCCATACACCTGCGAGCAATGGATCATGGGTTCTACAGAAGTGAATGTTAGCTTGCGTCAATTCAGCGCGTTTACTAGCTCACTTCACGGCCGAAGAGATGGCAGGCTGCGTAACTCTTGCAGCACGCGACGCCGCAGATGCAAGCGGATACGGGGAAGCACGTCGATGGAGAGGTGCCGAAGTGGGCTCGCGAGACGCGGGGGAAAGCTTGCGGACTTGAGTCAAAACCATACCACGGGAAGCTGAGAGAATCATCCTAACCTGCATGGTGGTTGTGCGCCTTCGCAGCATTTCGTCTTCCCATTGCAGTTCTCGGGCAAGCCTGCGGTCTCGCAGTTCTTGCAAGACAACGGGGTTCAGAGGGGGAGAGACGAATTCATACAGAGAACCGCTGCCCTGTATATCGCCTGGATGTAGCCGGGAACACTATGGAAGTCATGAATAAGCAGTGTGCAGAGTCACGCTTGAGACGCACCCGGATAACGGAACGCCCAGCGTCCAAGCTGGACGGGTCGCAGAGCAGATGGACTTTCGGAACAGGGTGTAGATATCGTCTACAGCGCTCGCGGCGCAACTGCACCAGGACTGTGTCAACGTCGCCTGCGTGCGCCTTCAGTTCCTGCCTGAATTGGGCGTTGGATTCTTGGTGAAGGGAACTTGATCCCCACATTGTGGAGGGGAGGACGCCTCAGGATGGATTATTGAGCGCTGCTGCAGATCGTAGTCCGGAATTTGGAGGTGAGAAGACAGCTGTCGGGTGGTTATTAGCGTTGCAAACCTCTAGAAAGTATGTTCAAGCTCACAATAGGATCAATCGACCCCCCTGAGGACTAGATGTTCAGGGTGAGCTCCGCCCGACATCATGCACCATGCCGACAGCGCGCCCAATGCATCACATCGGCGGCGAGGCGGAAGAAGCACTGAAGGTTCACACTGGCGGCTGATGAGGTGTAGGGAGGTGGCGCTGCATCGGTGCAAGGACGATCGTAGCGTCCGAAGGCGGTTCACGGTTACGCTGTCAGAAAAACCGGCCGTATTCGATCAGACAAGCACACGACGTATACAACAACACGCACTGGACTGCGGGGCCGTTCATACGTCTTGGCCGTCCTGCGAATAGGATAGACATGCGTCCCTGTCTGAACCTGTGCACGACACACGTGTGAGAAAGTAAGAGAACTAGAAAGGTTAGATACAACGTTAACCTAACACACCTGCTGGGAGCCGAAAGATTGAGAATCTATCGCGACAGATCCTCCGCAAACAGCGGATCTGAAGTTAACCGACGTCGCTGCACAGATCTAGAATCTAGATCCAAATTCCTCAGCGCTGGGAAAATAAGACCACAGACGGACAGTGCATTATGTACATGACGAATCCAGTACCCTTCAGGGTACTGAGCCAAACCGTCGGTATATTGGCAACGCACATAGCCACGGCGATCTTGGGGATCTGCCGGTGAAGGCTGCCATTGGACCGCGCAACGGTAACTTCTGAAAGGCGTCGAGTCCGTCGGTCCAAGCAGACCTTTCGGGCGGCCGAAAAGTGCGCCTTGGGAAGATACCGATAGCCCGCCCAGGGTGATTGGAACGAAGTAAGCGCCTCGGTTGAGACTGCCGCGCTGCCTACGCCATATCCAGAATAGAGCGGGAGGGTGAGCGCCGATTTGGGCAACATACTCGCCACCCTCGTCAGCGGGCGACCCAATACCGACGACCGGCAGCTATGTCGACGAGTGCGGGGGACAGGAATCGTCGACTCTGTCGGCTTATGCAGACCTGTCGCGCGGTCGAGATCAAGAAGACCACTGGCGCCCGGGTAAGCGCCCCAGTCGAGGCTGCCGCTCTGCCTTCATCGAATTCATTGAGCGGGCGAGGGTGTCTCGACGATACCGACACTAACCATGGTGCCCGCGACCTCGAGCGCACCGACTTGGGCGACATACTCGCCACCTTCGTCAGGCTTCGGCCGACTGCAC